TTTACAATTAACCAGACCTCAGGCTTTTGAAATGTCTGACTTTATCCTTATTTATTTGTCTGTTAAAATCAAAAGACATTTTAAGATAAGAGTAAAGAAACATTTAAGTTGTTTTTCAGTATTTTTAAATTGAAAGAAAAATGTTCAAGATAAATTAATGTTTTATTTTACGTATGAAAGATTTTTAGTCTGTTTTGTACTTAAATACGTGTTTACTGTAAAATATTGTTTATGCTCTTTTAAAGTTTCATTTTTAATATTCAAAATTTTTGTATAAATCTTGTTTTATGTTATGTTGTTTCCATCGCAGATTTCTTGTAGCAACATCTGTGTCAACTATCCTTGTTTTTGCCGAGAGAATAAAAGAGACGACAATATGTTTTGCGGAAAACAAACACAACAAAACACAACTTTAGAAAATCACATTTCTGCATCTGAATTTTTTGGACCTTGAAATATCTAGGAAAAATTATGATATATTGGTATATATTGGTCTAATTTATAACTTTTTGGATTGTTTTAAAGGCAGTTCAATGAACAATAAGTCGACTTCAGAAATTCGGTTTACGCGTAGGAAGTTGCAATTATTTGGAAACTAACTGCCGACCATGAAACTAATGCTCTGCATATCGCATGTTTATGCGTTTTTCTGATAATTTAAATTGAAGTGAATAACTGATTGTCAATTTTTTTTATTATGTTTCATAAATTATTTATGGCCAGATTGCAAGCCTTACAAAGTTCCTAACATAACCTGAAAGTGTTCGAAAGAGGTTATGCTACAGCCAACTCTATAGGAGTCCTAGAGTGAAATGATTCTTACTAGTTTTCACATAATAGAGTTTCACAGCTAGCTTAACACATAAATATTAAACGAAAAATACTTAAGTTCGAAAAATTTTATTATGTAGTACTAGCTGTCGAACGCGACTCCTTTCGCCCGGGTTTAAAAAAACTTAATTAGTAGCCTTTGTGTTTTAAGCGAGATCCATGGAGCCGTTTAGGAGATACCTAACGAACATCCGTCTAAACATTCGCATTTATAATATTAGTAAGATGTAATCCATATTTGATACTAATTATCCTCTATATTTCAAATACAATTAACTGTTTTAACGAATGATAGTTGAATTCTGAGACCAAAACATATCGTCAACCCAAGTTTATCGACAAAGCTCTACGTGTAGGTTTCTACTAATAAAACACGTGTACAAAATAATACCGCTGTCTTTTTTTAAGGTAATGAGAGAAAAAAATAATATGTTTTTCTACGGTAAAAACCCACAGCATCATATAATTATTGCATACGCATATACGCATTTACAAATATATTAATGTTGTCACTTTATTTGCTCCAATTAAAAATATTTTGTTTTGATCATTTTAAAGGTGAAGGCGATTCTGTTGCAATTATTGTGAATAATGCAATTTAATTAAGAAAATTTTCCATTATTTATTTCGAATATGGACCGCTTAGCTTTTTCTCAAGGACCTTATGACGCAAAAGTATGTACACTTAGTAATTAAATGCGTAGATGAAAGTACATCTATCGAATTGGTATGTCACTAATCCAGTCTACATTTACCAAAGTAACTGAGAAAAATAACGGACAAATTACTTATAAAATCTATCCAAGATGCTATGTTATAGTGATATTAGGGAAATAACACACCTGTATTAACGGTTTTTTTACTTTTTGATTACCACCAAATTTTAGCTATATTTAAACGCGACTGCGCGAGCATAACTTCGTTATTGCAGTATTTTTTTGTAGGTACATAGTAACTATAATACGCCTCCGCGCATCACATCCATACAGGCAGTCGAGAATTTTAAAAATAGATTTTTTAAAATGACATTTTTCCATGTTAAATACAGGCAACCATTTTTATTAATATGTAGCGATAATATATGAGTTAAGAAAAAATACGATATGTATATTTTATTTAATTACCTACAAGATAAATAAGAAGTCGACTAAAAACAAAGGTCAATTGCAATATATTTATCACCGTAAATCTTGTCAGTGTTTGACAATTACTCAATACAATATTATAATAAGGAAAATTCGAGGCGTCTTAACAAATCTAAGTGTAAGAAATGAACTGGAAAGTCCAAGAAACTATTATGTAGTAACCAAGTTGTTATAAGGCCTCTTTTCTATGAAGCGACTAGTTCAGACTACTATTCCTATAACGAGGCGCGCCAGTGGAAATGGTAACAGTGGTGCATGTATATTCGCTTAGTGGAAATAGAATGTTTGACAAAGTAATTTTAAAAGGTAGTCTTAAACCTGGTTGTAAGCTGAGAATACTAGAGCACTGGTCAAGGTTAAACTTTGCCTTTTATAGAATAGGATAAAAAACAAGTATACAAATTATTTAAATTCAATGTAGTTTTAAGCCTTACAGATTATATTTAAGTAACGTAACAGTATGCTAACAAAATTACCCGAAATGTTTTATTGCTATAAATGCCCGCTTTCATATGACTTAATAACCGCCTAACTTTCCTTAGGTATTTAAAATGTTGATCTCTTGACGTGATTTCGACATTTGAAACTTTCAGTGTTAACATTGTAAAAAAACGATTACATAACTGTAGTAGTTTATTTTTTTTGCCACTCGGGTGAAATTTAAAATTTATAAACTCCTAATGTCGCAAAATAATTAAACACGACGTATAAACATAATTAACATTAGTATTACATAAAAAGCTTCCTTTAATTGGAATAAAATTGTTTTTTCACTAAAAACAGCGGGAACCCTTTGTCAAACTTCCCAAAAAAGGAATAATTAATTCCATCGTAGAGTTACATAGATATATTAGAATATGTGAAATTAAATTTAATTAATAATTTTTTAATGCAAAATTATTTACAACTTCTTAAAATATATAAACTTTTAAATAATTACCAAAGATCAATACCAAAATTGTTACACGTTGTATTGTAAAAATTTTTTTTTTGTTTACTGTGATAAAAATAAAACTTACTTTTTAATTAAAATCCGTTTTCACTCACGATAGCATAACAAAATTCGAAAACTTAATCGAAAACGAATCGATACCAACCACCTCAAACTTTTTAAAGCAAGATGGCGTGCGCGTGCGTTTCGCGCGCTTATTCGCGACGTTTTGCGTCCCTACCACATCGCCTTCGCTTACCACGAAACCATTCCACATGGCGGTGAAACTTACCATTTTATATTTCAAATCTAATCAATGTTATTTCATCGTCCAAATTAATAATCCTGTCATAATAAAGCCTGACCTCTATCAGTAGATCGGGTCATTCAGTAAATCCGCTTCTTTTGTTCCCGCCAAAACGATGTTTGAAATAGCCACAAGGAATGAACTCAGATTAACTCAGTTAATTGCATTTGTATTGTAATGTATATGATTATGTTCAATTAAGTTCCTAATATTACAATGTTTAACATAATGCTACGTTATGTAACTGTTCGTAGAGATTGTTACTATTTTTTGTTATTTTATCTTTCACTTACTATCTCTTTCGATGGCCAGTACTGTTAATTGCATAATCTATTAGCCAGAGAAAGGATTAACTTTTATATAGTACAGTGTGCAAATAAAATTAACACATTTTAGCACGAGAATGGACATCTGAAAATAGACCTCTTTTGAATTATATTTTTGTTGTATTGAAACGTTATTCAGTTTACTTTTATTTTAATGTCCGCTTTATATAATGTCCAGTTTACATTATTTCAGTCCAGCGACCAAATCTAGTGCACGCGACAGCGAGTGTTTTTTTTTCCAGTTTCGCTCTGAATCGGAATACTGTAAACTGGGTATAAAAGCAACATAACCTATTGTGTCATGCTTATCTATGTCCTTCGTATAATTTTAAAAGGGACCACATTTTATGACTATACGCTATTTGTGAACCGTTTAGGAATTCCGAAGCATTTAGAAATGGATATTGTAGTTTTCTGACATCTTGAAGGCTCTGAACTTCGCGCGAGTCACTGCGCAAAACACTATTTTAAGTGTGGCAAGATACGCGGGAAGAGAACCGCACGGCGCGGCTATGACCTTGGGCCGCTAAAATATTTGAACAGTAATACTTGTCTTTTATCTCAGGTGACGTTTGCAATTTGGAGGATTATAAATTAAAAATCATATATTAAAATATAATATTTTATTTATACCAATATAAATGTGACTTTACCTTTTGACTATGACATAAACACATGTCAACTTTTTATTCCAAATCCGTAGACGAGACATACCTTAATACTTCGCATTATTTAAAAAAAATTTACAAAACTTTTAATTTACAAATGTAGATCAGACAATTGACAATATATTATACAGATAAAAAATTGACAAGTGGAAGCCCTTTTTCTCTTTGCTAATTATTATAATAAAATGTTTTATTTAATCTATAGATAACAAACACAGATCTTCATAGTATTTAAAATAAAGCCTCATTTTTAGTAACATTCAAACTATAAATTGTATAGAATATCTAATAGAACCTCGTTTAGCACCCTTCTTAAATACTACCGTAACTTTCTTTTCTTCTTTTTTTCCACAACTTTCAATAACTTACCATATCGTTAAATTTATTCTACACTATATTCTAACCTAAATTCTTCATAGATTATTTTTGAATCCAACATCCCCTCTCCCATAATTTAGGCTACCCCCCTTTATGTCAATGTAAACACCAAAAAGTAAAACTAGTACAAAATGCTATTAAGAACATAATTAAATAGTTTCTGTCACAAAAACATCAAACCAATCATCTGGTCCGGGAAGACACAAACTTTATTACGGTTGGATCTGTCAGAAAATCAAAAATTAGACATAGAAAATAACACACAAGACAAGAAAACGAGATGGCTATGTTATTTTCACAATTTTCCTGCTAATATTTTAAATGCAAATGTGAATGGATGTTCGTTTGAAGTTATGTCCAGAACGGCTGTATGTCTCGATGAAATTTGGCATACATATAGAACACATTCTGGAAGAATAGGCTACTTATTATGTTTTATTTTAATAATGCGCAGACAGAGTCGCGGGCGACAGCTAGTTATATTAATACATTAGTAAAGTATTGAAAAAATGCTTATATCATGTATTATTTTGAGCTTGACTCATATCAATAATAGTGGTATACTGAGTTGCATTAATAACGGGTACTTCTGTGTGAGATTCAGTGTTACTTCTAGTGTCCATTTGATCTCTCTTCTCTAGATATCTGGTGATATAGTGCTGGGATAAATGTTGACGAAGTTCAGTTTGCAAGCGGAAACTTTCATTGCATTGTGTACATCTGTAAATAAAAAAATAAGTAATTCAATTGAACGGAGAAATTATGTAAACAAACTTTAAATATATTTTAATTTATGGTGTGTTTCTGAGGTAATAAATATTATAAATCATATTGTCACTTGTCTTAAGAAAAATGTGAAAAGTAATATGATATAATATCAGAAGCGCTAATAGCCTAATGGTCAAGGGTGCAAATTCCTGACCACGACGTCGGGGGTTCGAATCCCGCCATTCGATTGTCGTAAACCATATCCTAGCACAAGGCTAGAGTTTACTTGGAACGGTATAAAGAATATTAGCAAACATACAAAAGTCTGCTAATATTTTTTAAAAAAAAAAATATATATCTGGGAATATATTTTTTTATGTAAAAAAAAGCGTTAAATTGAAAATTATGTGGTAAGTTATTGTGAATTTTGACTAATAAAATGCTTACTTATACAATTTATCACCCAAATGTGCTCGTCTATGCTTCACCAAATCATTGCTTTGTGTAAACGCTCTGCTGCAAAATTCACAGCGGTACGGTTTTTCTCCAGTGTGGATACGGTAGTGTCGTTTTAAATGATCCTTACTAGTAAATCTGAAAATAACATTAAATTATGTTTTAAAATAACTATTAACCATCAGTTCTTGATTATTCCTCATTGTGGAATGTTTCCGAACGTTGCTGTCAAACTGTCAATTTTTTTTATACAACTTCCGATTTTAATGGCGTTTCAAAAGGAGTATTTTATTTGTAAGAACCTCCAAACTCTATTAATATCACGAGAGACATAAGTTTTTTCTGAAATTCATAATCAATTCTAAAAATATGCTAAATATTATTTTTTACATAGAATATGCACATAATCACTATTTTATTAGTAAAATGTAGATTTTATCAACCCTTTTCAACCTTTTTCTTTATTTACAGGCCCTAATTTTGGTATTAAAAAAGCTAGCAACGCTTCTACAGTACTAATCACTTACTTCATAGGACAGACATCACATTTATGTGGCTTAAGACCTAGATGGCGCTGTTTGTGCTTAACAAGGGAACTGCGTTTAGTGAACTTTCCATTACATTGATCACATGCAAACGATCTTTCACCTGTATGAGTTTTAGCATGAGACATCATTTCACCTGGAAAATAAAACAAAAAGAAATAATTATGGTTTTGATGTAGACAATTTTTTGTTAAGCAATTATAATAATTGAAAAATCTTTCTTACAAGTTAAGTTATTTGCAGGTAAAATTGACACAAGTCAGTGTTTCTATCACATTATGGTGTAGATGAATAAGATAGAATAGGCACTTACTTAACTAAAGATCTAGGTTAATTGATGGTTTATGCTTAAAAATTGTGGAAATTAATTTACCTTTACTAATAAAAAGCTTGGGACAAAAATGACAAGCAAATGTTTTATGACCAATATGCCTCTTCATGTGCTGATTAAGATTCGTACTAGAGTTAAACTTTTTACCACAAGTTGGGCATAAATATACTTTGTCCGTACTATGTATTTTAATATGATTTGTTAACGTTGATAACTGCGAAAATGATTTATGGCATAGAGGGCATGCATGTGGTTTAATACCATTATGTTTATTCATATGTTCATTTAAACAACTCTGTTTTATAAATGTTTTAGGACAGATTGTACATTTATATGGTCGATTGGCACTATGACATTGTTCATGTCTTTTTAAATGACTTATTTTATTGAATTTTTTGGCACAAACATTACAAGAGAGTACTCTGCCTTTTTTAACATGTTTTCTCATATGAGCGGATAAAGAATGCATTGATTTATATATAGACGAACATATGTCACATTTAAAAATTTCATTGGTTTGACTTTGGTTTTCATTTGCATCTATTCTATTGTTCTCTTGACTATGTATTATTAAATGGTTTACAAGTTTAATTTGATGCTTAAAACTCTGTGAACATATATCACATACATATAAATTATCTAATGAAAAATGTTTTTCTTTATGCTGATTTAATTTGGAAAGCTTTTTGAATTTCTTTTCACAAATATCACATTTTAATTTAATTTTAACTTCAGTTTGTTGAGTATCTTCAGCTTTCACATATGTAATGTCATTGTAAATAGTTGAATTCTTATTTTCATCAAGTTTTGGTCCAATTTCTATTTTTATTTCTGTCATTTGATCATTAAGTGCATCAAAATTATCATCTTCAGATTCAATCTTAATATCCGCCAGTAAATCTTTTTGTAGGGATATTGAGTTGTCATTAGTATCGTAGTTAATTTGATTTCTAAGATGTGTATCAATTCTCCTTGCAACCAAACAAAAATTGTAAAAACTAACAATATTATTATAACAACTACTGCATACAGTTTTTGGAAGACTGTCATCAGGATTTGCCTGGAAAAAAGAGTAATCTATTTTATTTAGAGTGTCAATAAATATACTACGAGGAAATAAAACAACTGAAAGCTATTACATTTTTGAATTACGTAAACAAATTAACAAGTAACTAAACTCACCGCTAGACCTGTACAGGTCAATAACATATGAGCGATGTTAATAGAATCTTTTTTATCGTCAAAAATATTATACTGCTGCGTAGAAGAGTCATTTAAGCAAGTTCTGCAACTGTGGACAAAACTTTTGCAACTTGTTTCTAAAGCCATTATAGAAGAGTTAGAGGAAACTCACGGCGTGAAAGATTACACAACTATTATGGATATTTCAAAAATGCAAAGATAAAAATTTGCGTAATTTAACTTAATCAACATTTTATACCCATCTTTAAAACTATTAATCTCAACAGAATTCATATGATGTTTCACAGTCGGAAAACATTTTTTTGTTGATATTATGACAGACATCATGGACAGTTGACATGTTTACAGACAGATTGCTAGATTATATATAATTTTCGCAGATTGCATAAGAAAATTAAACAGGTTTTTTTTAATTTTTGAAGTGAAATAATATATTTTAGGTTTCTAAACAATATATAACAAATTTAGTAAACCAACCAAATACTTTATTATACTCCTAAAATATCTTGTGTAATATTACTAAATTTAACGGCGTTGCCATTACCTTGCTGTTGCTGCCATTATAAATAAATGAAATTGCGTTTTTTTTTTCTTCGATTATCAAATCAAAGCAATTCAATTTCAATATCATTCAACTTCTCCAGGAAAAGTGAACGTGTGTGCAAAGTTTAAGTTATAGATAGTTTTCTTTGTATTAGTTTTTACTAAAAAAAGGTAAGCAAGATTTTAATAATTTATTTTTCTACGTTATTACTTTGTAAATCGGCCAACTTATGTCACAATGTTTTCTTTTACTCGTCTCTAATTTATATTAAGAACAACGTCGTTTTTTGTTTTTATTATTTTATTAGAGTTATATAACCGCATAATTATAATCATTGATTATTTATTAAATTTAATTCTATTATTGAAATAGTGTTTCGTAACTATTTTCTTATGCTCCTAATTTTATTTATAAAAATTACTGATTACAATTTTATTGTTTTGGTAAAATAATTGAGTTAAATTTTACTACTTTAATTGGTCATGCATATTTATTTCAAACTTTAAGTATATACCCTTCAATATAATATTAGTGACATTTAACATATTTTTATAAAATTTTCTATAATTTACTCAATCTTTCTTCTTTTTCATTTTATATATCGTGACTTCTATGTACAAAAGAAATTATTCCTACTTATATCACAAATGCGAAAGTTTAGATGGATGGATGAATGTTGGAAGTTATGTCCGGAATGATGTAGAACATAGTCTGGAAGAACACATAGGCTATTGTTTTAATTACGCGCAGACGGTGTCGCGCAAGACAGCTAGTATGATATATACTGAGATATTACTCATATTCATCAAATTACTAATCTACACAATCAAATTAATATAATCACAAATACAAAATAAAAAAATTCTAATTCCACTTTATTACCAAACACTACTTTTTCATAAATTGCATATAAGTTTACAATGTAAATTAAATTATCCACAGTTAGGAAGCATTAGTATTAATCATCACAAAAAATCCTCACTTAAGTTCTAAATATTTGTTTATTTGACTTATTTGTACCTAACATGTACAAGTGTGCTTGATTAAATAAAGGCTAAGAGTAGATCAAGGTTCACATGTTTGTATTTGATAGTAAATGTACTAAGTGAAGCAGTTAGTCATTTATTTGATGTATTACTAAATCAAGTTTAAGAGGTCAAAATTTAGTAACAATTTTATTAATTTCAAAAAATCTACAGCATGTTTTTATTTTGAAAATGTAATTTTAAATATTTACAGATATACCAAAGAAATATTTCACTTTTTTAATAATTCTATAATAAAACAGAACAACAGAAATAAATAAGATATATAGTTGCTTAAGATATAAATATAATCTTACTAATAATTAAATGTGAATGTTCAGATGGATGGATTGATGTTTGTTTGAAGGTATCTCCGGACTGGTTGAATGGATCTCACTAATATTTGGCAAAGTTGTATAACACAGGCTACTAATTGAGTTTAATTTATTCCATGGACGGGATCTTGGGGTACAACTAGTGTTATTTAAGGGAGTGGTAATACATTTATGTATGATGGAATAGCACTTTATGATTTCATATCTTTTACGATTATATCTTTCATATAACCCACGCTGGTAAATAAAAATATCACTAATATAACAAGGGCAAAGTTCGTAAGGATTAGTATGTATTAATAAAAATGCTGATTTCGGAAGTATAATTAATTACACCATGTACAAAGTGCAAAACGTATCTTACTAATACTATAAATGCGAATATTTGGATGTATGAATGTTTGTTAGTTGGTATCTCTCACTAAAATTTGGTATAGAAGTAGAGCATTGCCTAGAAAAAAACAGGCTACTAATGAAGTTTTTTTAAATTCCGCGTGGACGGAGTCGCGGTCTATAGCTAGTAGAAACATATAGAAAATATTGATCCGTGCCATAAAATAGGAGACCTAATGATTGATAATAAATAACAAAATATATGTCCTGCATGTATTCTAGATTTTATATCACGAGTTTCCAGATATATGAAGAAATAAATTTTTTAATTTATTATTATTATGTAACGTAAAGTCTAAACTTAAACAAAATAATATAGGTTATTTAAGAAAACGAATCACGAACTGATAGTAGCAATGGTAACTTACAGTTGCCATTGAACTCCCTGATAAGCTTAGTTAGAGGTCACTCTGACCCTATTACACGTCTATTAGGTACATAAATAGTATCGCTTTAACCGGCGCGCTGTGTGTGTGTTTGTTACTCTGTTAAATATATTTAAAGGTAATTTTTTATTCATTTATAATCGAATTATTTAATGCTCAAGTTGGTGATAATATTTATTGTAGTCGGTGTAATTTTCTTATTTGATTTTTTCGACACGTGTAAATACATCGGTCATAATTTACAATAATTTGGCACTATATGTATATGTATAATACAAAAAAAAGAAGGATTGAATTATTTTTGGATTTATTTAAATAAGTTCTCCTATACATGTTTTTGAACTGAGACGTCTTGTGATGTATCAATCAAGGTCTTATTATTTGATTAAAAATTTACACATACTGTATATATATACAGTATGTGTAAATTTTTATAACAACCATTTTTTATCCAAAAGTGTTATCAAGTGTTGCACTCAGAATTATTAAACTTAGTGTATAGTTAAATGACAATTAAACAAGCCTAAGCTGACGTTCGTGTTGCCATTAAACGTATAGCTATTACGCAGTCACGAAAAGCAATAAGTGAGGAACGCGTTTTAATAATTATTTACGCTTGTCTGAAGATGATAGTGTCATTTGTATGTCGAGACAACAAATTTATAATATAGTAAGAATCATTTGTAATACGATGAATTGATTTTATAGTTCTTTTAGTAAGTAAAAAGAGGTATTAATAGAAGATAGTTATCGCGCGTGACTCTGTCCGCGCGGATTTAAAAACTGTGTTCTTCCAGATCTGTATGTGTGTCAAAATCCGTTGAGAAGTTCCGGAGCTATCTTCAAACAAATATCCATCCATATAAACTTTCACATTTATAATATTAGTAAGATTAGAGCAAATATGAGTGCATTTCGAAGAGCCAAAATAACGCGCAATATGTAAATTAACAACCGCTGTCTAACCCATAGTAAAACAAACGCGTGATTGCCTGTTACTAACGAAAAAGATTGGCGTATACAGTAATCTCATATTAGTAAATTACATATAAAAGTGTTTTTATTAATCAGACTTTCGAGTACATACAGTTAATTAAAAAATTCCCCACCGGAACGCACCGAAAAACAGTTAAGACATTTTTACGAGCATAAAATAACGAAAGTAATGTACAAATAAGAAATGAAAGCACGGATTATAAAAATGTACAGTTTTACTAATTCTACTAACATTTACAGGACTCCTAAAAATGCGGATCGAAAAACAATATTGCAAATTTTGATATTCATTACTGGCCTGTACTTAATAATATTATGAAAAATTAAATGAATGAGGTTTTAATTAAAACGAAATATAAACTATGTAAAGCGTAAAAAAAACTACATGAAATAGTAGAAGAACGACATTATTGTCTAGATTCTGGGATTTCCCAGCTCGTACCGGCTGGTTTATGGCAGTGCAAAATTTGCGTGTGCGAAAATGATTTCAATATCGCTTATGGCTCACGCAAACAAACCACTTCAATATTCTTGATATGTTTTGAATGTTGTGAAAATCCTAATAAATTAATGCGTTTGGAAGTTCGTGATACAATTGTCGATAACTTATAGTTTATTGTCAACTAAATATTAAAGCCAAGGCTAGATCTCTGGGATAAGGAGCTTAAGGGTACTCGCACGTACTTAGTCGTTAATACCATTGGGACTTGCCTAATTGTAGACTAAACTAAACGACTGAACCGACTTTGACGAGGGGTGATTTGACGTGAGTGACACGGATCAAAGTTGGCTATTTTATTTTGTAAAATTTAAAAAAATGTGAATTAGACGTGATAATAATTCAACCTATTATAAAGGTCCCTAGCAAGGTTGTTTGTTTATCTTATAAACAACAAAATGAAGGTTTAGGTATGTAGCACTTCCTTGTAAGTTTCAAATATTATTGTGTGTTTACTTAACCTGTAGTTTGCCTTGATAACAGGTGATAATGTGACCTTGACCGATAATATATACGATTATGAAGATAACAAATAAAAATTAAGTGCATTGCTAGAAAATATAGAGACAGTCGAATCTGGATTAAACATAAATCTCTGTAAGCTAGTCATAGTCCTGTCCTGACGGACGACCTCCACGAGCGAGAAACCTCTCTTCTAAAATATGGCGGTCCCTTGGACTTTCGATTGTAATTGTATTCTATTAGGTTATACGAAAGTATAAACAAAATCGCTTTTTAAATATTATAATACTTTTATATAGCTATCTCATTTTTTAGAAGTATATGAAAAGGATGACAATATGTTTTAGTACATGTTTTTTTGACCGTGGAAACTAATAATTATATAATTTATTCAATCAATTCAAATTTGTTTCTTAAGATAAATATTCAACGAGTAAGTTCAACAGTCTGTCTATGCTCACTAAAACTGGTAAAGAGTCAATGACCGGCATTGGCACCAAACTAACTGTCAACCGAAGTGTCATGGCCGATCACTTTCGTAATTTCTGAGATAAATACAAGATTTACCTTAAACCCAAGTTGCTACATTTTCTTATAACATATAATAATAGTTGAAATTATTACGTTTCTTTCTCCTTGC